GCACAAGTAAAGTCTTTTGGAAGAGAACTGTGTGTCTGTGAGCGGGATGGGTTGGTTGGTGAGCAGGTAAGAGAGACAGTGCAAGTTAAGAAATGGAACCAAACACAGGTTGACCGCTACAATGACAAATGCCTAAAAGCTGAACAATCGGAAAGATTTAGAGGTAGAGATGTCTGACCGTTTAGTCTGCTTCGCTGTTGTTTTCCCAATAGCTTGGAATGCTTTAATTCTTTAATCCCAAAGTCTTCAGTTTGCACATGTGCACACCCAATTTCCCCGAAGTAAGAGTGGACTCTGAGGAATGATGTTCAATCTTTAAATCCTTTGCCACAGAGCTATTTTTAACTGACAGGTTCACAAAATGGACCTATCCCCTACCCCGAGCGCTTTCTAACCAATTTCTACCTATTATAGTTGACACAACCAGATGTTAGTCCTTAGCTGCATTTAGAATGAAAGGTTTGTCTTGCATGACTTCTCGTGCAGGCCGCTGGATATAATTTAATGTGACAGAACATCTTCCTCCACATTCTCTCCACCTCTCCAAACATGACCTTTGATAGAAAACTGTTAGAACTAGGCTGATTTTTTTAAAAAAAGGATTATTTATTGCTTCTAAAATGGTAACATTGTGTATTAGATACATTTCTGTGATGACAAATGATGTCAAGTCACACTAGCCTTCCATCATACCTTTATTCCTCTGATACAAGTTCTCCTGGCTTGTTAGGAAGTCATAGCAATTGATGATGAACATCAGCTACATTATTTAAGCACTCCTGTACACAGAAGGAAGGCTATCTTCTCTAAGAAGGTAAGGAACTCATTTTGAAATTTGGCTGGCCTTAAGCTTCACAAACCATTTTTCTCATTTCCATTTTAGAAGACAAAGGAACCCTGTAATTAATCATCCAGAACTCTGCAATATAACTCTGGGGTGCCTCTTTTTTTCCTCAGAGAAAACCAAATAATCTATGTTGCATTTGACTACTATAGCCATTGAAATTAATATTTTTGTCTTGAAGTCTTAACATAGATTAGAAGCCATCTTCTGATGTCCAGTGATGAAATTCACTGCAGCAGCAGACACAGATAAAAAATAAATAAATAAAATATCATTCAATGAGTTTCCTCAAACTCCATTCTATTGCTTGAACATGACTTTGTGTGAATGTCTTACTTGCCAACTGCACTCCTTGTCCCATAATTTTCTACCCACTCTGGATTTGACATACGGATTGCTGTAAGACTAGAACATATTAGGCTACATGGCTTGAGTCCATCAGCCATGGGGTGCATCCAAGCAAAAGTGGATGTTAGTTTCTTCACTCTTATACACTGTGCTTAAAATCTGCCACTAATTTCAAATGATATGGCCACATTTATAGATACTGCATATCAAGATATTCAGAAAAGATCAGAACTTTGGGATTGTTGAGATTTTAATCCTTCCCTCTGAGACTGTCATATATGCTCACTGCTTAATTAAAGCAGTGAAAATTTATAGTAGTATTTTAATGATGGTAATGATAATGCCAGTAATATGAGTGAAAACAAAAACATCTGAAATAATACGAGCTTAATGTGTTCTGGATAACAGCTGGATATGGCCTGCAACCCAACTATATAACCTCATTTAAATGAATAGGGTTTGTTTATAAATAAATTGATTATGACAAGACTTTTAAATAATCTATCCTTTGGTGGTAGGAGATGCTTAACAAAGAAATCTTGCACATTTATAAAATCAAATTTATAAAATACTGATATATTTGAACTAAATCCCAGATTACATTATAATAATTTGTAAATGTAAGAGAATTACAGGAATATGTTCAGGAAAATGTGAATTATGATTCCTACTGTATCTTGCTTCCCATCTAGAAAATGAAGACAATCATCAATGAATGCATCTAGCTGGATGCCCTTATAGCCCTCATGTGGTCGGCCAGACCAGATGGGCGGGATATAAATCAAATAAATAAATAAATAAATAAATAAATAAATAAATAAATAAATGAATGAATGAATGAATGAATGAATGAAATATATATATGAAATCAGAACCAGGTTCCACATAGAATGTTATCTTGAGAAACTATAAAGAGTAACATTAATCTGGAAAACCTTTGGTGGTAGGAGATGCTTAACAAAGAAATCTTGCACATTTATAAAATCATATTTATAAAATGCTGAACTAAATCCCAAATTACATTATAATAATTTGTAAATGTAAGAGAATTACAGGAATATGTTCAGGAAAATGTGAATTATAATTCCTACTGTATCTTGCTTCCCTAGAAAATGAAGACAATCATCAATGAATGCATCTAGCTGGATGCCCTTATAGCCCTCATGTGGTTGACCAGACCAGATGGGCGGGATATAAATAAGTAAGTAAGTAAGTAAGTAAGTAAGTAAGTAAGTAAGTAAGTAGTAAGTAAGTAAGTAAATATGAAATCAGAACCAGGTTCCACATAGAATGTTATCTGTGAGAAACTACAAAGAGTAACATTAATCTGGAAAATCATACAAATCTTATTTTCCAGATTAAGGTTACTCTTTGTAGTTGTGTTCTATGCAGATATATTCCATGTGGAATCTGGTTTTACAAATGGGTTCAGCAAGCCATATTTGGTTGCTTAGTGCCCATATCCATGACAATGAAGGATCACTATTTTTAAGATTTGAAAATATGTTCACTGTGATAGGGAAGGCAACTGAAAGTCTAAACCCCATCAGAAAATGGGATGGTGCATTCATTTGCAATGCAAGAGGACTATACAAAGTAGAATTACAGAATTGCAGAGCTCGAAGAGGCCCCAAGAGACCCTGCAGGAGCTGCCCTGTATCTTGCTTTGACCTGGTTTTCATTCAAAACATTCATCATATTCAAGGATTGTATTACATAGAATTTACTTTTCCGGTATAATTCAGGATTCTGTAAACTCTTTTGTTATGATAGATAATATGACCTTCAGTGAGTTAGAAAATTCATCCTGATTAAATAAAGAAGGCTAATGATTATTTCTCTCAATAGGCTCCAGAATATGAAATAATGTTCTCTATAGTTAAAGAGAAAAAAATATGACTGTTATGATTAAATACAAATTAAAAAGGGAAATTACATTTTTACCATTCTGGAAATATTTCTGCTGTCTCTAAAATCCTGAAAGAGTTCCTGAACAAATGCAATCAAGACTAAGAGGATGATGTTCATAATCATTCACAGAAAACATATATTAAGAAAAAAATGTGTTAATAACATCACATTAAAATAGCTTTGCCCTGAATATTTTACAGATTTGCTTTGGAAAAAAGATTTTTGCAGGGTAGAATTCTTCCCTAAAATAAATTTCTAAAATTCTGTTTAATCTATCACACTGTCTGCACATTTCTCCTGTCTGTGTAAATGTAGCAATTTGTACAAATACAAAGAGGGACAACAAAATATATTTTATTTTTGGGCAGCTGCTAAGTGAAATTGTTTATTGTTAAATGCTTACCTCATTGACATTTCTTGTGCCCTTCTTTCACATTTCAGAGAAATATTAATTAGCAGTGGTTCACATTTCTACAACTAAAATTTACACTGAAAACATAAAATCATATAATTATGGTCAATGATTTTGTTGTAGAAGTCTTTCTCTGCCCCTTATTTGCAGGGAGAGTAGTACTTGCCTTTTGGATAGTTTGTGTGCCTTTTAATTTGTCCCAGCTTTTTGAACTCAGGTATCAGGAGAGAGTTATCTAGTTGCCTCGTGTGCTCCCAGAGGCATCTGGTGGGGCTATTGTGAGATACAGGAAGCTGGACTAGATGGGCCCTTGGCCTGATCCAGCAGGGCTCTTCTTATGTTCTTATGTTAACTGAGCTGAACAGAAATAGCTCTCCTATACATAAACACTCACCTGCAAATAGTCTTCTAAATTCATTCTAAATATTGCTATTTTCTGAAAGGAAGAGATGACTATGGTTTCTTCAGATGCAACCACAAACCTTTCATTTAACAGAAGATATGCAAGAGAAGGTAGATGGAATGACCTGACAAAGTGGGCTCTAGTGCTACAATAAACCAGATAGTCTTTAAAAGACTCTGATAGCATTTGGATATCATAGTGTGTGTTGTGTGTGTGTGTGTGTGAGAGAGAGAGAGAGAGAGAGAGAATGAATATGTGTACGGGGCAATTCACTCAGTTCCTTTTTCCATCTATAGTTAACGCTTTCCTTGAAGAAAACTGAAGATGACCGCACTGAAAGCTGGCAAATGACCCTATGCAAAACCCTTCACCCACATCCACTGCCTTCAAATGTAAAAGATATTTAGGGAAATGTTACCTGTAATGTTAGGTATTCCTTTCTGCGAAGCCGCTATGGAGCTAATTCTTAAATACTTACGTTGGCAAGTTTTAGTATATATAATGAAAACAAAAGAGTAAAAAGTATTGTGCAGCCTTAAAGACCAACGTGTGGTGAAATGTGCAAAAAGATCATACTGAAATGAATTTCTTAGTCTTCTGATTGTATTTTCCTTTGTTATTGTTATACTGATTATACTTGTTTTGTTTCTGTCATGCTTTTAGGTAGCATGCTACTCATAGGAAAAGCACTTGGAATAAGTAGTATGTACTCATCAAGTTGCTTCTGTTTGAATGTTTGAACTAAGAGATGTAGTTCTTTTCCACCATTTACTCTCCATTGAAATTTCACGAAATGTCTGAAGTGAAACAATAGAGCATGCTATAATACCTGCAATTACGGAACATGAATATTTGCAAACACCTGTAGTTTCATATTTCTGTGATGGCATGTATAATTCCAATGTATAAATACTGGAATTACCAAAATCATTGTCCACATTTGAGCATTTCACTTACTAATATTTTCCTTTCTTTTGAAAAACCACCCACTGGAGTCAAGGGAAAACCTGCAAGCCAAATGTTCCTCTTTTAAATTGCCAAGAAAAAAGAAAAAGAAAAGGGAAAAGTCGTATAAGACTTACAATCTGCTTCCAGAATGGCACGGACGGATCTAGCAAGTTCTTTGGCTTCAGTTGCAAGAGATGCTTGGATACTGCGGCCATTCCTTCCCAGATGTGCAAGTAGGGTTTTTGAAGAGAATGTGGCTTTTCTGTCACTGAAAAAGAGATATATGAAAAGGCCAGAATGTTTTATCTTGCATACTACATTATTTCTGTTCATGATACTGCATGCATATCATTCATTTCCACATATAACTGGGTCACAACAGTAATCAAAACTTACAAGAACATTCTGTTCTGAGCCTGCAACACTGATCAATGTAAACTACTGCTATTCATTTTGATTCTAAACAAAGAATTTGGTTGCAGGATGTACACAGAGGGAGAGGGAAGCCAGACCATCCAGTGTGAAAAGTGAAAGGCAGCTTTGGCACTCACTTTGACCATTGTCTACAAGTTCTTAAGGAAGGCAGAAGGTACACCAGAAACCCTTATACGTCTTATACTGGATCTACTGGTGGCTCCCTAATTATTTAAAGCTAACAGTAAAACAGGTTTCTACATACCAATTAGACTACCATAATGAAGAATGCTTAGAAGTAAACCAGGAGCTGGCTTGTGGCTTAAAAATAGGGAGCTTTCTTCCAAGCCTAAAAACAAATTCCTAGACAGAAGGACTGCTCAGAGGTACTCTCATCCTTAAATCAAAGCTGCCATTTTTCATTTGGAACCAGCTAGTGAGTCTTGAGCTAGGAGCCTAAAACAAACTCAAATCTGTGAAAGCCTGAAGTCTGTACATCTTTGCTTTTTCCCCAGATGAATCATTTTAGCGGAGAAAGCTAAGGGGCAGGTGAACAAAAACTGTATCAAGCAGCCCCTGGAAAACTCTGGCTTCTTCCAAATGGCTGTAAGACAACCTTTTGGCTCTTTTATGTTTTTTTATGGAGGCTGCCCATAAAAAACAACAACAAAAAAGAACAAGCAAACACTCTGGGTTGAATAAATTCCAACAGGTAATTGAAAATGGAATGCATTCCTCAAGCTATTTGGCAGGAACCACTGCACCCCCATGTTTACTGGCTGTGATTCTTTCTAGAATCAACGTGTAGCAGGGTCTTTAGCTACAGATTATAGCTCAATTGGAGAGCATACACTTTGCATGCAGAAGGCCCCAGTTTCAACCAAACAGCATTTCCAGTTTAAAGGATCTTAGGTGATGGAGCTTAGAAAGCCTCAAGGCAACGGAGAGCCATTATCACTCACAGACAGTAGTACTGTGGCAGCAAGATGAATGGCAAGACACAGTTTCAGACAGCTTCAAAAAGTCACATTTTCTTGCACTCCCACTGGAGTGCAATACAAAGCCAGGTGTGTGGCTTAAGGTGTTGAAGACTGTCTATCAAACACATACTTGTATCAATAAAAGGTGAACGGCCATTGGTATTTGAACCCTAAACTCAAATGGTATCCCCAGGTTTATTGGGACTGACGCTCAGGAGGAGCGGTCCACCAGACCAGGTGGGTGGGATAAAATAATAATAATAATAATAATAATAATAATAATAATAATAATAATAATAATAATAATAATAATAATAATAATAATAATAACAACAGTGACTCAGTGGACAGCTGGGCTTGAGATGGCTTTCATTCATCCTCTCAGCTGTAAGACTCAAATGTGCCAACCTTGGGCACATAATGCTTTCCCTCAGCTCCCAGTGTGTGAAAAACAGGGATATTTCTCTTACTAGGCAGGGCACTGCAAGTATTAAAGATGAAAAAAAATTCTGCAGATCAAAAACGCTACAAGGAATTAGCCACGGGAAGAGTAAAGGCAAAATGCGCAAAGCTTTAAAGCCCCCTTATCAGTTTTTTCCAGTATTATCATGTTACCAAATTAATCTCAACAGCAAATCCAAATCTTACGTAGTCTTACCTCAGGTTGGTTGTGGAGGTGGAGCTTTCTGACAGCACTTCAGGTACAATCTATTGACAAACAGAGGAGTTTAGTTACAATCTTTGAAAGGTTCCTACATTTTCTCTTTCTTTTCTTGTACAGTACAGTCCACAGAACAGATGCAGCCCGGTCTACCTTGTGCTTAACCACCTTAGACCTCTTCCATGCAATTCATATTCCACTAAAACCAATAGCAAAGATGCTGTTCATCTTAACTGGCTGTCTAGCTGTCTTCACTGGGATAATGGCTTGATTCTCTGAAGGCCTGAACGGTGGTTGTTGTAGCAGCGTACATAGCACAGAAGCCAGCCAGTCTCAGATTTTTACCTGGTATTCTATGATCTCTAAGTGACAAAGCCCACACACAGTCCATAGTACTTGTATTTCTGGGTCAAAAGGAAGATTTTGTGGTTGTAGTGACACAAGTGCTAAGATGAGAGAGAGAATGAAAGCTTGGTCCTGTTTGATTTGGACATGACCAAGCCATTGCCTCATTCTGTTCTTATCCATTTCCCATTCTATTTTTATTCATACAAGACCTTGGACTATCCTGAGCTCAGTGCTCGAATTTCGGGAAGAACAGAGAGAGAGAGAGAGAGAGAGAGAGAGAGAGAGAGAGAGAGAGAGTGTAGAGGAGGAGCACAATGAAATCTACAAGCGTCCCCTCAAACACATACAGTACATATACCAAGCGGCCCTGGTTTTAGCCAAATTACGCTTTCTAGGTAGTCTTTTAAGGCTGCAACAAGACCATTGCAGAAGAGAACGGAGTGCTTACTAGTCCTAATAAAGGGATGCACAGTAAGTGCCACCTCCCGAGATTACTGCAGTGCAACTTCCCTCAAGCCTAACTAGCATAGCCAGTGGGGAAGGATGAAGAGAGTTACAGCACAGCAACAATCAGAAGGCCACAGTTGCCCAACTACTCTTCTAAGAAGACCATCCTGCTGCACTTTGCTTAAATCTGGTCTCCACAAGTCTCAATTAATTAATCTTTTCTTGACTTAATATGCCTGGCCCTAGCCCTGACATCCTGAGGAATAAGAACATTGTGGTGAAAATAATATAATCCATATGCTTTGTTCCTTTCAAAAGAGGAACATTGCTGGAAAACACCATTACCTCAACAAACTGCAGTAACTTTTCAGTTGCCACCTCAAAAGCTTTCTTGGCTGTTTCGGATTTTCTCAGCTGGCAGTCAAGCACAGTAATCCTCTTCCTTAAATCTTGGACACTGTCCTAGGAAAAAGAAATTCAGCTAGGCCACAAAACTTGACGTGTGGAAACTTAATGTTGATAAATGTTTTCAGTTCTTCCTAAAAGTGGAACAGCAGCATTCCTTCTAATATCCAAAGACTATGCCAAGAGTAGGAAAATGACTACATGGGGCAAACAGATGAGCCGAATGTCCTCAAAGACATTCCATTCACAATTCCTTCATCTGTAACTCACAAAATCATTGTTTCTTGCATAACCAAGAAAGGATCTGTATATTACAGTGACACCAAGATGCTTATGGATGCCTATGGGCTTTGCCCAGAAACAGATATCACAGAATCCTTGTGAATTATGGCTACTTGATGATAGTAAAGACACAAAGGAGAACTGCTGCACCTTTGAATAGGTTGAAGCTGCTGCTTCAGGTGGCATCTGGAGGCAAAAGTTGGAGCAAGGTACTGGAGGGCTGAGCAGTGTAGATCATCTGGCCTGCTCTGTCCGCTTGCCAATATCAGGTGTGATGGAAGACGCTGTGCCAATCAGTATGAAAGACAGAGACTACTATCCATCCATGCAGCTGGAACTGGGGGAAGACGGGGGATATTTTCTGCCTCATAAAGCAAAATATCTTGGGCCCTGAGGAATTTTGCTCTCTTTCTGTACGAGTGTCCTTGAAAGAAAAAATCACTTTTTCTTCTTAGTGTAAGAAAGATGGATATCTGTGCTACCAGAGAGAGTAGGCCAATGTTGACCTTATGGATGGTGAACAGAAATAACTATTCCAGAAAACAATTAATTAGGCTCAAATGTCATATTGCCCTGGAACTACAGAGATGAAGAAAAAGTGCACTCTATTTTCCTCCTCTGTCCCAGGAACTTTTCCTTTTGTGTTGTTCATTTTATGGTGTAAGCCAGTATGCAGGAAATATCTTAGCTTTCTGAAAACTTCAAGATGAATAGTAGCCTATTTTCCCCAAACCACCCTTGTACTACATTGAAGACTCTTAAATTTTACTTGGCATGAGTTTTTGTGAGCAGTAGCTCATTTTCATGCACCTGATGAAGTGGCCTACTCTCCGTGAATGCCAAACAAAACTTCAAGGTACTACAAAATTCTCCTTTTGGGTTACATTTGTACGACACACTGAGAGCTATGTTTTCCAGCTGAAGATGAGGTAAACATCTTTAAACCAATAAACAATACTCTGATGACATGATGCTGAATAGTTTCTCTAGCCCTGCTCTACATCTTTGGCTGTAGATGATGGGGAAAAGCACTGTCTGGGCACAGGAACATTGTGGAAGAAATCACTCAACTTTCCCTGAGTGAATGGTTGCCAAATAGTTTTTTTAAAAATGAATTGTTGCTTTAAATGTGTTTTGGGGATACTTATGTTTTTTGGTTTTGTATTCATAGATTCTTTTAGTATTGTACAGTTATATCCATTGTTACTAACTCAAATACTTTATTTTGATTGTTGTAATCCACCTTCGGTCCTTTTTAAGGAGAAAGGCGGGTTAAAAATATTGTAAACAAACAAACAAATAAATATGAGGACCAATACAGTTTGGGAGGCATTCTTAGTTTTTTGTTTGTTTGAGTGATTACTATACATCAGCCAGAGTGACAATATGGCCGGATGGTGAAGCGCATAAATTATTTAATTAATTAAATCAAGGGTAACATACAGTTTCTAGTGGGACATGGCACTGCGGGTTAAACCGCAGAAGCCTCTGTGCTGCAAGGGCAGAAGACCAGCAGTTGTAAGATCGAATCCATGCGACAGGGTGAGCTCCCGTTGCTTGTCCCAGCTCCTGCCAACCTAGCAGTTCGAAAGCATGTAAATGCGAGTAGGTAAATCGGGACCACCTTGGTGGGAAGGTAACGGCGTTCCGTGTCTAGTCACACTGGCCACATGACCACGGAAATTGTCTTCGGACAAGCGCTGGCTCTATGGCTTGGAAAACGGGGATGAGCACCGCCCCCTAGAGTCGGACACGACTGGACTAAAAATGTCAAGGGGAACCTTTACCTTTATCTAACATACAGTTTCTCCCTGATACTGTGCATCACAAGAAGGTAAGACTAAAGCGACATTTCTGTTTTATGTAATCACTATTTCTTCCTCTTCAAAGAAGAGCTACATGGCCTCACGGTAAAGTGATGCAAAAAATTATGGTCTGATCCTAGTTCACTGTTCACATTCTTTACAAGTCCATTTTATTTCTACTCCCTGGACACTGCTGAGACTTTATCAATGAAGCAATCCTTTGATGAACAGAAAATGATTGTGACTTTAGAGAAAGCCAGCACAATACAGGAATTATTAAGAGTGACTCATTCTTCTACAACCCAAGCTAATTTTAGCCAGGGAGGCTCTTTACAATAGATTTAACACTGCAAATGCTGCATGAAGATATCTGTACACTGGTGCCTCGCTTAACGATTTTAATTGGTTCCAAAAAAAATCATCGCTATGGGAAAACAGCGCTAAGCGAAACGCGGTTTCCCATTGAAATGCATTGAAAACCGGATAATCCGTTCCAATAGGAATGAATAGCTGTCCTTAAGCGAAAATCGCCATAGGAAACATCGATAAGCAAAACGCGGTTCCCCAATTGAAATGCACTGAAACCTATTCAATGCATCTCAATGGGGGGGGGGGAATTCAACAACAAATTAAAAAAGAGTTGGAACAAAGTCAAATTAGTTTAACAAAGGGTTTATTAAGTGCACTTATGATTTCAAGCATTCTAAACATTTCAAAACATTTTTAAACATTTAAAAACCAGCCAACATGAGGCTGTCAAAACCATCGTTAAGCGAAACAGGGGGACCCAAACTGTCATCGCTATGCGAAGCATGGTCCCAAACATCGCTATGCGAAAATCGCCCATATGGAACATCGTTAAATGGAGCACAAGATCGCTCCGAAGAAGTCATCGCTAAGCGAATTCGTCATTAAATGAAGCGCTCGTTAAGTGAGGCACCACTGTACTTAATTATCAATCTCCATCTTCCATTCTACGCCCAGAGTCAGAAGTAAATTGACTATCTGGACTGTAGTACAACAGGAGAGACTAGACTATACATGAGGCAATGCATATGGACAGAGCTGTCCCAAGATATTTCTGCTCTTGAAGGCAGTGGCAACCTTGGCCCTGGAATTCAACATGAGTTACTGCACAAAGTAGCCTCCATGTCTGGGATCTTGTCCTTGCATTTTGAATACTGGAAGCTGAAGGCTACTGAGTTCGAAACAAAATGTTTCCACCACATTGATATTATCTATGTTTTAAAGCTCAATAAACCAGAATCTACACAGGAAGTCTCTTTTTTTACACCACTTCCTAATATTTGTGTGCGTTATAGTGGTTAGCGTGATAGACTAAGGACTCCAGAGAATATGGCCATGAAACTCACTGGGAGAGTGGAATTGAAAAAACTACTCCTTCACATACCTTGAAAGCCCTGTTAGGGTCGTTATACATCAGTTCTGACTTGACAGCACAGCACAGCACAGCACAACACACACACACACACACACACACACACAAAATTTGTGTGTTTTTGAGAAACATGTCACAACTCTCAGATACAACACACCCTGATTAAGCATTGCCTGTATACTACTGTGTTTCCCCCAAAATAACACAGGGTCTTTTATTATTTTTTGCTCCAATAAATGAATTAAGGTTTATTTTCAGGAGATGTTCTATTTTTTTCATGTACAACAATCTACATTTACTCAAATACAATCATGTTATCTTCTTCTGGTTGCTGCACAATGGTGGAGTTTCACTTATCTGGGGCTTATTTTTGGGGTAGGGCTCATATTACGAGCATCCTGAAAAATCATACTAGGGCTTATTTTCAGGTTAGGTCTTATTTTCAGGAAAACAGGGGTAACAAGGGTGAATCCAGAGAAAAATGTGAATGTTTTGAAAAACCTGGAAAGAAAAAGCCTAAGGATGCAACACTAATGGCTATACCTTGGAGCACCGGGACTTACTCCCTGGTAAGTGAATACAGCATTATTGCCTTACTTTTCTGGTATTCCATAAATTATATCATAAAACCAATGTTTTCAGCCAACATATTCATCAAATGAAATCAGAAGAGCAACTTGATGTATTATAAATTCCATAATATTTATGCTTGAGTTGTGTGTATTTTGGCAGATGACCCAGACAAAGTTGTTACTTGCGTTTTTCCAAGAAAGAGAGATTTCCAAAGGGGGAAAAAATCCTAGTCCTAATCTTACTCTCATCCCTCAGCCTTCATTTTCACAACACATTATTCTACCTATTGGGTAACACAAGACAAGCGGTGACCTACTTGAGGAGAGCAGATGAAAGAAAAATGAAAAACAAGATACATGACAACAGCGAGGAAACCATGGCAACCCTACGAGAGACTACTGAGGTGCTTACTTTATTTTGGCCACCGTGGTCGACAAGCTGAGCCTTTAGTTTAGAGATTTCTACCTCCAACAGGCGGATTACTTCTTCATAGTCCATTTCCATACCACAAGCTTGCTTTTGTGCAGCTTCTGCAAGATGGATTCTGCTTCGCAAGGCTCTCGTCTCCTCCACTGATGCCTTGACTTCCTACAGGGATCAAAATTCTGTGTTAAAAACGTACTGCCCAAGCTAACTTTGGAGGTGCAGGAAGGGCTCATTTTCTTCTTAACTGTACAAAACTATTCCCAACTAATTGTCAAGGTTTGAAATTTGTATGTATCTGTATGTGTAAAGAGTAGAAATCATTAAGGGGGGGAGGTCATAGAAAAAGTAGCCCTGAAAATGAAAGTGCTTTTAAAATTGAGGCTTGAATAATAGTTTACTATAGTCACTTCACAACAATTAGCCAGCTGAGCAAGGTTACTGAATAATAACAATTCCTTATAGCTGAACAAATTGAGATCATTTCCAAATTGGGGGATATGTGAACAACTGAGTGAATTATACATATAGGGAAATAAGACATACAGCCACAAATTCAGAATTCATCACATCAGCACAACTCCATGCCATTCTGGGCACCAGACATGAGAAGACAAAAATCCTGTAGCAGCAACAAAACAGTGAAAGTAAATGTTCAACATGGATTTTCTTCTATAAATACAAATTGGTCCAGCTGGATCAGAACTTAGAATTATTTTATACGTGTTCTTAATGTGCCTAGAGGCTATGAATGCTATTTTCTTTTAGATATTTTTACTTTTAAGAACTTCCATATTTTAACAGTTGCATTCTTTGTCTTCTGTTTTTAAATGTGCCTTCATAGGCTATAAGCTCTTACATTTTTAGAATGCAATGGAATAATTCTTGTTGTTCTTTTTTACTCTTAAAAGATATTTTACTGTATTATGGATTGAATTTTGACTAAAGTATTTGTCATTTACAACTTAAGTTTAGTTTTAAAATATTTTAAAGTATTTTTGCATACACCATTTTTTATATCTGTAAAACCTCTGTATTTTTACAACAGTTCTGGAGTAAGTTGTGTTTGTGGAACACAGAAGCAATATAGATAAATAAAGGTTATAAAATTATATCAGTTACGTTGCTTGGAATTATTGCAGTAATGAAACACGTATACCTTTATAATCAGATGAATTTTGATCTGGTTTTCTGTAATTATTTGGTTTCATTCTGAAGTTAATCTTTTCCTTTTGGGATAATCCCAGCTATGACAAACATAGGCTTCTGATTTTTCCCTAGAGATCTGTAAAGTTTTGCCGAGCTCTTACGGATAGTTCAAGCATCACCTTATCTGATCTGATCTAATTGCCATCCTGGGTTAACAGGTAGAAAAGGAGTTTCTTTCTTTCTTTCTTTCCTTACTCTGTTCATTTTAAGATACCATCACCTACACAGTAACAAGGCAAAAGGAGGACTGACACTGAGAGCACACAGAAGGAGTGTGACAGTCACCCATGTGTGTTGTACTTCAGACTACGTATAATCCATAATCCATGCTGTCTGAGGCTTTCAGTCCAAAGCTACTCAAGAGCTACTAGTTTGCGTAACTCAGACATATGACACAGATCAAAATAATGTACTTAAGAAGCCAAAAAGCTTGAGAAAATGCAAAAACGGTATACATCTACAATTTAATTTGTTGGAGATATGTCCTACTAAAGTGGAACTAATATTTGCTCTCTAGCTCTTTGGTCTCTAAGCATATACTCTTCTTCTCTGGGGTTGCACTAGAAGTACTGTTAAAAACTACAAGTTTCCAGAACAGCTAAATTTTATTATGAAAAATAAAACCTTTTGCTCTGTGACGGGATCCTAGAGTTCAGGTACTGCTTACAAATAGCCCATGAATCAGAGCTGGCTTCTAAGTCAATTCGATCTAGTTTCTCGATAGTCTAGCCAAGCTAAACCACAGTATGAAGAAACATATTCCCAACTCTCTTGTTCTTGAAGCAACTTTGTAAATTAGAACCCAGTCTTCAATAGCAATTATTCTAATGAATATATTCTGAAAGGAATGAAACTTTCACAAACAGGTGGCCTTGACAAGAAAGCCTGGTCTTGGAAAATTGGCAAACTCATTGCATTCTCTCTCAGGAAACAGAAGAAAATATTTACACAACACAATTAATTATATGGTTGAAAAGTCAATGAAGCAATCAATGAAACCATTAAATAATGACTGCTTTTGTCTTGCTTTTTGTGCATGAAAAGTCTGCAATTAAAGAGTTTAGTAAGATGTGAATTAATTAATTGATCTCTGGTTCTGTCTACTTCAGATCTGACAAAAATAGAAACAGATTCTACAGAATGTGGCAAACCTCTAAAGCAGGGATGGTCAACATGTAGCCCTCCACATGATTGTTGTTGTTTAGTTGTTTAGTTGTGTCCGACTCTTTGTGACCCCATGAACCAGAGAACACCAGACCCTCCTGTCTTCCACTGCCTCCCGGAGTTGGGTCAAATTCATGTTGGTCGCTTCAGTGACCCTCTCCAACCATCTCGTCCTCTGTTGTCTCCTTCTCTTCTTGCCCTCACACTTTCCCAACATCAGGGTCTTTTCCAGGAAGTCTTCCCTTCTCATGAGATGGCCAAAGTATTGGAGCCTCAGCTTCAGGATCTGTCCTTCCAGTGAGCACTCAGGGTTGATTTCCTTTGGAATGGATAGGTTTGTTCTCCTTGCAGTCCAGGGGACTCTCAAGAGTCTCCTCCAGCACCACAATTCAAAAGCATCAATTCTTTGGCGGTTAGCTTTCTTTATGGTCCAACTGTTGCTTCCATACATCACTACAGGAAAAAAACATAAATGTGACTTTTGTCGGCAAGGTGATATCTGTGCTTTTTAAGATGCTGTCTAGGTTTGTCATCACTTTCCTCCCAAGAAGCAGGCGTCTTTTAATTTCGGGGCTGCTGTCACCATCTGCAGTGATCATGGAGCCCAAGAAAGTATAATCTGTCACTGCCTCCATATCTTCCCCTTCTATTTGCCAGGAGGTGATGGGACAAGTGGCCATGATGTTAGTTTTTTTGATGTTGAGCTTCAGACCATTTTTTGCGCTCTCCTCTTTCACCCTCATTACGAGGTTCTTTAAT